CCACAACCACCATATTCATCTGATTTAGCACCGTGTGACTTCTGGCTATTCCCTAAACTCAAAAGACCGCTCCGGGGACACCGTTTTGACTCGATTGAAGAGATACAAGCTGAATCGAAGAAACCTTTGAAGGCCATTCCAGAAATCGACTTTAACAACTGTTTCGAGGGTTGGAAAAAACGTTGGCATAAGTGTATTGTGTCTGAGGCGGATTACCTTGAAGGCGACGAAATAGATTTGGAATAATAAATAAAGATTAAAAAAAAAAATTTAAATTGGTCTTACTTTTTGGGCACAGTAGTACATTCTATGTTAAAGATTTAAATATTCGTGTTTAAAGACCAAAACAATAAGAATGTCCAGGATTGTTACTCGGGAATTGGTACTTTTACCTTACGTTGGGATAACAGTAGCGATCATGTGCATAATTTTTTTCTGAGAGTGGAGATGTGGAGAAGTGAAAAGCTTCACGTGAACTCGACGACTTTAGCAATCGTGCTACTTCTCGAGCAATGGGAACTTTTCACTTTTCACAAGTCTACGCTGAGGGGAAAGATACATAATCGATACCAAGATGGCGACTGTCGCGAGCTCCGCGCGATCCTGTCCCTCGTCGACGTTGCCTCGATCCCGAGAGCACATGCCTCAGCCGAGAGTACGGTTCGCCTTGACTCGGATCTCGCTAAGAGCGAACTCGTCGTCGATCGCTGTCGCGCTGATCCGTCATTACACACGCCGCGGCGTTCGCGGCCTGCTCGGACTTGCACGAGGCCTCCGCCGCCGCTTCCCTACCTGTTGCACGTCGGGCCAGGCTAGTTTTTCCTCGGGTTTACCTCCCGTTTCCACTTTGCGTCGTCGCGGAGAACTCGGCCTCGCGCTGGCTGCCGAGCGGCAGCCTCCGCGACTCCAAATTCACGCTCGCTTAATCCTTAAATTGCGCTCGCAGCGTGCCTCTCTCTTTCTTTCTCTCTCCCTATCACGACACGGCCCATATATCGCGATACGAAACCTCGCGGGAGACCTTTAAACGCCGCCGCGCGCTTCCCGAAATAATGGACACTCCGGGGTTACCGCACTCCGATCTTTTCTCGGGCGTTGCTGCTATTTTTACGACGGCGTCTGTCGAGTATATCCGCAGGAAGCCGGTTCAAATAAATGACGAATAACATTCCGAAAAGAGCGAAAAAAAAAAAAAGAAAAAAAAGCAGCGCGCCCCTTCAGAGGGAAAGGTATTCGCCGTTCGCGATTCGCAGACGGGAAATCGGTCCCACGGCGAGCCATCGCCGCAATCGGACCATCTAAAACGATCGATCCGACCTTCCTCTCCTCCCATCATCTCGAATTACGCGCTGCGCCGCTGTTTACTAAAAATCGACCTCGTTCCCTCTTCGCGGCGCGGCCTCTCACGAAACATTCGTATGTACGCACGCACGCACGCACGCACGCACAACGAACGGGCGAACGAAGGCTCGGCGGACCTTGACGCCGTCGCCGTCGCCGCCGATGCAGATTCCACCGCGGGAGAAATCGATTCCCGGTGTGGCGCGAGACGCGCGGAAGTCGGGACAAAGGAATCGATTCGCTCTGGTGGCGGCCACCTAATCCTCACAAAGCGCCTCACGTCGCCACGAAGTCGAAGTTTACTTTTCGTGCTCAAACATAACTCGGGAGCTTTCGGAAGCGCGTTTGCGCGACGCCCAACACCGACGTGGGAGAACGTGGGGCTGGGAGAGGGGGACAGAGGGAGAAAGAGAGAAAGGCAGCAGAGGGTGGCAGTGGTGGCACCGGGGAGGGTTAAACACACATAATCCACCGTTTTCCGCTGTAACTCGTAACTCCCGCTCGTATTTTCCGTCGTTTCTCTCTCTCCCCGTCTCCTTTCTGTCTCTCTTCCCCCTTCTCTCTCTTCCCTCACGCCGTTCGACCTTCTCTTTCTCGCCCGAGATCCTTCCGTGGATAAACTATTTCTATATTCCCGCGACGGAATGTGCAATGGAAGAGAGAAGAAGGAAAAGCGAGAGAGAGAGAGAGAGAGAGAGAGAGAGAGAGAGAGAGAGAAACGGTTTGCGGATACTAATCACGCATCTGGAGTTCATGGCCTACCACAACGTCATCGTTCATTCATTATAAGAGACGTTAAGCGGAGAGACCCCACCAAAAACTCGCACGCTCGCCGGGAATGCTCGGTAGCAGATCTCATTTACATTCATCGGCAGGATAGTAGTCGCTCGTATATACGGCAGTCGTGCCGCCGCAATCAGTGTTCTTGCGCGACAGGTTCAGCGTTCATCTGCTGCTCGCGCTTTGAGGCACGATATTAAGACTCCAATTAAGCAGCCTCGTCGACTTGGAAACTAATATGCCATTGGATAACCCCAACGGATTCAGAACGCGCGCGTCCGTGTATCTCGGACGTCGATGTGAGGAGAAGGCAGGAAACTACCGTGAAGATCGCTCTTCCGCGTCTGCCATCTCTCCACTATCCCTCAGCCCCGTCAACATAGAGCCGAGAGAGAGGAGAGAGTGGGGAAGGGCGAAGGGAAGGGAGAGAAAGAGCGAGACGGAGGGTGGGAAAGCTGTACGTATAATGACGCGGCGTGTGTCCTTTGAAACGACTTGCAAACAGCGGTGCAAGCACTCGGAAGAGAGGAAAAGGGTGGAAATGGGTGGTTGAATGAGAGGAATCTCTAGGAATTACCGGAGGTCGTAGTTTAATCTTAGCGCTGCCATCAATTCCCGCGGAATTTAATCCCTCGCCGCGTACCCGTTATTTTCAGTAAGGAACGGGAACGTTCTCCATCAAAATGCCCGGGAACGACCCGCCATGCGACCACCAAAAATTGAAGCTACGACAACTCGCGGGATGTTGAGCTTCTCATGCGCGAACCGCACAAATCAGGCTCGCGTCTCGCGACGTTTCACGACGTTTGCATTCAGCCGAAATGGTTTAGTTATTGGTCTCTTGACGACTCAGCGTATTAGTCTCGCGATCGTATCTTTGGAATTTTTACATTGAGAGAGAAAAAATGTGTGATCTAACAAAAATTGTAGTTTTTTTGGCCGTAACCATATTCTTCAGTTACTCTAACGCGAAAATAGTAACATGCATATAAAGTTATCATCACTAACGTTACAGTAGAATTTAATTAAAAAATAATTTTCTTGGCCATAATTTGTAGTCATTATTTCTCCGTGTGATTAGTTACCAACTTTTCTTTAGTTACAAGCTTTTTTCTTGTCAGTGTAAAGGGTCGGAGAGTATGATGGCAATGATAACGAAATGATAACAATGTCATTGCGAATGACAATCGAGATACGGTCGTTATCTGCATAACAAAACGGGGTTTTATCGTTCCCTTTCTTCCCGAGCGGGATACAACGTTTGCCGACAAGAATGGGCTGTCTAT